CCTTCAACCAACTTCAGCTTCGTAAGCTGCTTCCTGACCAGAGTTTGAGATGAAACGGACTTCTTCGCGTATACGGTTTCTAAGCTTCTCCAAATGTCCTTAGATGTTTCCTTGTCCCTTACGAGATTCAGGAAATCGTCATGGATGAAAGAGATCAGCAGATACGCAGCTTTTCTGTCCTTCTCTTGGAACTTCGTCAATTCAGCTGCTACCGCCGGTGGATCCTTCTTGATAGCATCCAGCAGATCTACAGACTTCAAGTACATCTCCACCCTAAATCGCCAATTGTCATATCCGGTGCCCGAGAACAGTGGTATCCCGTGGACCGATTCCTTGCACGAGTTTAACGGAAAATCTCATCATTCTCGAAGGACCATAAAGTATAAAAGTGACGATAATAAAATGAAAAAAAAAAAAAATCAGATCTCAACATCTATCACTAAAACGTTAAACCTCCGAATTCGATAGCAAAGATGCCAAAATCAAAAAATATATTCCTTAAAGAGATTTTCAGCCTCGGGCTGATTCATCTCTCCTACCACAAAAGAGAGGTTTCCAAATATGAGTTTCTTAACTCGCTGGTTTAACCTTAGTTCAAGCGTAGCACTATTTTATTTGTCTCTCAAATTCTGGTGGAATTGAATTAAATTACCTTGAGGAATTAAATTCAGCAATAATTTTGCTAGGTTTTGCCATATAGGGGAAATGGCTCTAATGTTGACCTATGGATCTAAGATTGGGCCCATCGCTAGAAATCTGCTATTTATCAATTTTATCTAGAGGAACGCTTCATTGGGACGGTACTAATGGATATTTTTGGTCGCTATTAAAAATTTAGTCGATTGCTGAATTTATGGATGGACGTATATGAGGGGGATTTAGACCGACATTACATACATTTCCCCTATCACATAAATACCGTTTGACCGTGATAAATCGCACAGCAAAAAATAATTTTAATATCACATCGAAGTGGATGCACTTCAATCATGTCGAAAATGTGGTGTAATATTACTTGCCAAAAAGGACAAAATTATCATTAATACAGTGGATGAACTGACATGACGCTGCTTTTACTGCACACTACGAAAAATACATGTTAATTTCAGTGCCCTGAGACCGACACATGCTAGCGTAGCAGTTCCATTTCAAACTACGATTTTTTTTTTAATTTTTTAATCATCCTTCTACGATTATGTTGAAACTTTGCACAGTTGTTTGTTATTATCCAACATGCCATTTTACATATATGGTTCCCTAGTTTTGTACACGACTAACACTTGAAAAGAACTTATGCAAAAATGATACGCATCAATAGAAAAACATATATCTTGCGTATTGTGTTTGATTGAGATGGTGTCTTAGAAGAAGTTGCGAACAAGTATTGTGCTTTTCAAGAAAAAATATACACTGTAAAAAAATATTTTTTTTTTACAAAAAAAAAATCAAAATTATCAAAAAAAAAAGTAACATTACTCAAATTGCATATTTTTTTAAATTTTTTTTTTATATTTATTTTATAGTTTAGGTAAAGTATTACCTACTGACTTTATGCATTTGCTGGGCAAATCATAAACAAAAAAGTTATGAATTATTGATAAAATAAGTATTTTCCAAAATACTACCAATAGTTATCGAATATCTTTGAAATAGTATTAATATTAAAACACATTAAATTTACAACAAAAAAGCTCATAATGCTTAAATTGCCCAAAGTTGTTATTTTCGAGATACTCGTAGGTTAAAATTCACTTATCGCATAATTTGAGAAATTTTCACTCTTTTGAGATGTTATTCGTGAGTGTCCAATCTTGAAAGTATTTTTAACAAAAAGCCCAATTAATTTCCTTAAACTTTGCTGTTCACAGTTTTTTAATCATACGCATGAGTTAAGATATAATTAAGCCCTTTTCAAGTGTAAGTCGTGTGCAAAACTAGGGAACCATATATGTAAAATGGCATGTTGGGCAATAACAAACAACTGAGCAAAGTTTCATCATAATCGTAGAAGGTCGATCCGAAACGATTTGCGAATCTGTGTGGAACTGCTCAGCGGCCCTTTTGACATAAGAATCAGTTGAAAGGGACGAGAAAATCAATTCAAGCAAACACACTTTTCGTCGAGTTGCATATATTTAATTTTACATGCCATGTTTGTTTACGTTCCATGATTTACGTCAAACCTGAATTACGTCTCATTTAAAAATAGTAATTTCTAAGTGTGTGCAGTTATTTATTGTTGTGGCCATAAAAATTACATGAGCTTTTCGACATGATTGAAGTGCATCCTCTTGGATGTAATATTAAAATTTATTTTTGCTGTGTATCTAACTTTTGTTGTTGTAGTGGAAACGGGACTAGATGTTACAGGTAATCGTGAACATTCCACGGTTTATTTATGAATATTTAAAAATTTGACTTAATTACCCCAGGTACGAGATCTTTAAAATATAGAGAAGTGCATAACAAAAAGCATAAAATTTGTTGCAATTTTATGTAATGATAGCATACATCTTAATGCTGCGCACCATTTTATTGACTATGAAAATGCCACAAAGTATGAAGAGTTATTTATATCTCCGAAATAAAAAGATCCTGTACATGCCTAGCTGCACGCCGATCAAATATAGCTTATGGAACATAGTGGAACGAAACAGATAATCAAAACAAATACGCCAAACATATGCTCTAAAGCACTTTCTTCGGACCAGTTATTGATGTCTTCGAAAGTGTTTTGATTATCCTTTCACTATGTTTAGCACACTAAACGCAGCGGCTCTCAAACTTTCGTTCACTGCTACCCACTTTTACGCATTCCATAAACTCGCGATCTACCAAATTTAAAGACTGATGTTGTAAGACCAACATTATTAAAAAAACACTAAAACGCCTGCCAATAAACCTTTAAAATTCATGAATTAGAACGTCAAAATATATTATATTCTGTTTTTAGGCGATTTTTTTTTTCGATTTTGTTCTTTTTTAGGATGAGTATAACCTTTTCTCTTGTACCATATTTTACTTTTATTTTTTTTCTGATTTTTTTTTTTAATTAAGTTGCTTTAAATTTGACTGCGATTCGAGATCACACTAATAAAAATAACGGATGTTATGCTAAGAATCAACAAAACAGTTAAAAATTGGTAAACAAGGTCTGACTACACGAAAGTAGCTACCAAATTCGGGTCATTATGAAACGCTGATCTCAGAAATTACCTCAAAATGTCAAAACGGCATGAAAATCTTCAAATGAGTTTGAAAACGCCATGATTACCATAAAACGTCTGGAAACATAGGAAATTACTTATTACCACCAAATAACCAAGAATTGCCAAAAATGACTCCAAAACGCCAAGAAATGGCATATGAAACCGAAAATAGCCAAAAAGTTCATAAGCCACAGAATTACAGACCTATGAGCCTAATATAGACCAAAAGCCTTAAAAGCACCAACACATATTAGAATCACCAACATTTCAAAACGGCAAAAATAGACATAGCATTTCAAAAATGACGGAAACACCAAAATTGATAAGAGAAATAACTTTAATAACATCAAAATAGCTGTTCAAACACAAAAACGTCCTACAGTCACCAATATTACCTAGATCCATCAAAAAAGATTCCTAAATATGGCTTTAGGAAAGATGGCTCCAGAAATGACCTAGCGCTGGAATAGCGTTGAAACTTATCTTGAAAACGTCCAAATGGTCCAACAACCAACCCAAGTAACAATTATTCTTCTATGATGGTTCTGTAGACCATGATTTAGGATTGCAGAATGGTATAAACCTCTGTAAAGCTTGAAATGTCACAAGGTCAGAATCGCCAAAATGTTTTCAAAGCACCCAAAATCGTCTTAGAGTTAGAATTATAAATTCAGAATAATTTTTCATAAAAACAAAATAGAAAATTTGAAGTCTGAAACCCACCCACAGATTGAGAAACGCTACACTAAAGTATCATAATACACCAATAAAAAGTTTGAACACTCGTAAAAACCAATTCACACTTCAACGAAAAGCTACTAATGACGGTAAAACATTTTCTGTGTCGATTTAAATAAACAATTTAAATAGCTATTCATTTATCTTACGGTGTCAAGCTCGCGAAAATAATTTATTGACTTTCCAACTCAAGTGTGTCATCCCTCGCCCGTTCCAGCAGCGGTACAAAAGACATTTATTCGTGCGAACTCATGCAGGTCAATTCACGCAATTTATTGACTGGAAAATCCCAGATTTACGTTTTTGGTGACACTGATGATGGTTAGTTGACTTTGTCCCACAGGACCATTTACAGCAGTGAAACATCGCTTCCGAAGATACGATTAAAACAATCAATCAATTACATAGGTAGTTTATCGAGGAAAGCACATGTCTATTCAAATCGAAAGAAAGTGTTTTTTTTTTCACCAAAACATTCGATGCAAATTTTATCTCTTCTGTGGACCTTTCTTCCACTCTCTCTCTCATCTCAACATCTCCGATTTCGTACGAGAGGGTCGAATGGTCATTCGATTAGGTGATCGTGCATGTATGACGATCACCAGGGGCGTGTGTAGACAAGTAGTATGCTGCTCTCAATTCTCCATGAAAGTCCTGCATACACTAACGGTCCGGGCAAAACCTCTTTAGCTCCCCCGGAGGAGGTGGCACACAGGATCGGTTGAACCACAGCCACATGCATTTCGCCAAACCGCTCTTGCAGACGCGTACGATCGATTGAGCAGTGAACACGCGCGAGCCTAGTTTTCACGCTCAACGGCTTTTTTGAGACTCAACACTTGGTTCGTTTCCGAAACGGATGTAGGTACCTCACCTACGAACCTGTTCAACCACTCACAGCAGCAAGGTGCAAGTGTTCCAAATAACGGCAGTGTCAACGTGAATGTGTCATCGAGATTAAGTAATTCCTACAACAGTAGTGTGGACAAGGTCTTTGATCCAAGTCATCCGAGTCGTCTAGCTGAGTGATTCCGGTTAGATCAGCGTGTGTGTTAAGTAACATAGAGTTGTCGGAACAGGCGATTGTCGGTCGCGGGTGGTGCGTCTGATGTACGCTCGTATCGACTAGTGTGTGAAGAGGTGGCGCCTAACCCTGCGGCAGCTTGATGGCAAATGAAAGTGACATGAAGAGAAAAGTATGATGAGATAATATTGGAACTTGGTGACGAACTCGACACCAACAACAACAACGACAACGACGTCACTTATAGTGTTGTTAGTGTTATTATACACCTCAGTGAGTAGACAGCCAGAGGTGGTTTCTTTGCAGAAAACGAGCTTCAGGCACGAATCGGCGAAGAGAAATTTTCAAAGTGTTGAACCTTACGCGGAAATATGAGTGCAGGTGAAGGCGGCAGTGGGGTTGCGGTGCGCAAAATGAGGTTAACCTGTTGGCTGATGCTGTTGATGGTGGTTTGGATCGTCACGCTGCAGCAGTTGGTTGCAAGCGTCGATGGGATTTATGTGGTGGAGAAAGGTGGACGGAAATCCTTCGTCAAGCTTAGCCCAGCACAGTGGACCGAGCCGGAGCCAGATGGCATGTGGTCGTCTCTGCTGGAGGAGTATACTCTCGGGTAAGAGCGGATGTTTTGAGGCAACTCATTTGGAAATAAAATAGGATTAACAGTACACCGGTACATACGAATGCTTACTTAGGCGTTAGAATTGATATTTGGGGCGGTTATGATGGTGTGTATTTTATTGCTCAAGATTATTTTGTGTGGACAATGACGATGGATCGGGACTAAAACCAAAAATTAATCACTGATTTTATTTGACGAATGTAGGACCCGCCAGAGCCTAGGGGCCCCATAGCCTAGTCAGTAATGGCATGATATTACCAAGCCGGAGGCGGCGGGTTCGATTCCCAGTCCGGTCGAGGGAATCTTTCGGGTTGGAAATTTTCTCGACTTTCCTGTGCATAGAGTATCATTGTGCTTTTGCCACACAATATACAAATTCATGATTTGGTATTGGCATCGAAAGCTCTCAATTAACAACTGTGGAAGTGCATTTAGTAGAACACTAAGTTGAGAGCACGCAATAAGCTAATATGCACTAAGCAATAAGCTTGAAATGCAAAGAAGAAGAAGAAAAGGCCCAACATTACCCATACATCGTTGGTTCACGCAAAACAAATAGCCTATGGATCATTCCAGCTCAAGTTTACCAAAGGACGATTTTCACGTCGACTATGGCGGAACATTTTTCAACTTCTTCTACAAAAAAATGCAACTCAAAAATGATATGACATAGGGGAAATGGATGTAATGTCGACCTAAATGTCCCTAATTTGGGCCCATACATAAATTCAGTAATCGACTTAATTTTCAATAGCGACCAAAAGTATCTATTAGTACCGTCCCAATAACGCGTTCATTTAGATAAAATTGATAAATAGTAGATTTTTAGCGATGGGCCCAATCTTAGATCCATAGGCCATCATTAGAGCCATTTCCCCTACATAAATGTTTTTCAAGAGTGATTTGAAGAGAATTATGTGAGCTTTCATAAGAAAATGTCAAAACATAAAAATTATAATTCCCACACTAAAAAAAAAAAAAAACAATTTAAAAATTTAAAAATAATTTTTCACAAAAAATGTCATTTTGGAAAATTATGATTTTTTTTAAAAAGGCAAACTAATTATCTACAAGTCGTTCATCAATTCCAAGATGGGCACTTTTACAGGAAAAACATAATTTTAACAAAAAAAAATCGTGTTTGCACTGAATGAAATCTCAGTACATGAAACATCGTTGGTCTTCTAGAACGCTATTGAATATTTTTGGAATGGGTCAGCTGATTCCGGAAATATGACTGTAACATGTTCCGATGAAAACGGGTCTCGAGACTAGGAGTAACCTGAAACGTTCCGAACACGTTAACCGACTATCGAAACATATAAAAATCCGAAAATAAGATCATTGGTGGTCATATTTAAATTCCTGAGGGGACATGCTCCCGGCACCTATTTCCTAATCATGGGCTTTGGCCCATCCAATAAGATTTCAAAATCAAATCATCAAATCATAACGAGTATTCAGGACCATATTGACCCTATCTTGATATGTTCCGGGTGCACCCTGCGTTGTTTCGGTGTCTTAGATGGGACAAAAGAACATTTAATTTCATGAGAACTGAATATATTGGTCATATTGAGTTCCCACGCTCACATCCGTCGCAACCGGAGATATTCCGGTACCTTCGAGTAAGTCAAGACCGGACATGACCAAAACCCTTCACATTAAATTACGTGAGAATTTAAAATAAACATTTCTAGCAATTATATTTAATAGCAGGGACAAAATTAACCATGTTATTTAACCTAAACCATGATTTGAAAAACCTTGATGAACCACTTGGTTTCGTAAGGGACCGTCCGCGGTTTTCGTAAACTGGTGTAGTTTGCCACGTTTTTTTTGGCATGCTTCTAAGTTCTTCGCTAAGCTAGTTCTTGAACATTTATCCGTTGAGTGAACATCGGATCCATGTGCGTTTGTGTGTGTGTGTGTGTCATTCTCTACCCCTCACCAAGCTGGGAACTTTGGGCAAATAGAGCTGCTAATAATTTCATCAAATTTAATGCTCCGTAATGGCGCCCTTTATGTTGTGAAGATCAGTACTTTAAAAAAGGATAACTTTTGAATGAGCATCGGATTCTTGAAAACAATATTAATTTCTGTAGACCGTGATGAATGCACTACCCACCCGAGCAAAGTCGGCTAACAAAATGAAAGCAAATCGATATTAAAGTTTGCAGTTCCTATCACAATGAAAACTCATTTTGATTTCAATTTTCGCGACAAAAGTCTGATATCATATTGTGCTTTCATTATGTACTCAAGAATTTTTAAAAGAAGGCAACTTAACTTGAAGTTCTGCTGTTAACGTCTTGTTGACCACTTAATTTAAATTCATCTCTTTTTTTCGTGGGATTTGAACCACTGCGACCATTAAGCTGATCTATTGTGGTATACAGATAACTGTTCGACTTCGATTTATCTTTTTCAAATGATATCTAACGGGACAGTGTCCCGTAAGTAGCCCAATAAGTATGTTTAGTGATTTTTTATTTAAATTTAGTATTTTTTCCGTAATTCCTTTGTTTGGAGTAATAAACAATTTGGATTGCCTTGAAATATTCGTAGCAGCCCAATTTGACTGTATCATATTTCATATTGTCTTCCCATTTTTTCATTTCCATTTGTATTACACATTTAAATAGATACCCCACAGAAAGGTTCTGGTCCTATAAATTGGACACTTGAGCCTTGTCTAGCGAGTAAATCGGCTTTTCGTTTCCTTCGATTCCGCAATGGCCTGGTACCCAGTACAGATAAACCTGGTTTTTGACGGCCAGTTGCTTCAGAAGTATTATGCATTCCCACACCAGTTTTGATTGGCATGTGAAAGATTGTAGTGCATTCAATGCTGCCTGGCTATCTGAAAATATGCAGATCCGCGTGTGTCGATAATTCCTTTTTCGACAAATATATGCACACTCTAAGATAGCGTAAATTTCTGCAAGAAAAACAGTTGTCCATCTTCCCATTGGTATTGAAACGTTAAGCCCCGGGCCTGTGATTCCAGCTCCAGTGCTATCATTCATTTTTGAATCATCTGTGTGGAAAATTATTGATTCTGGTGGAATTATTGGCCCTCCTAATTCCCATATTTCGCGGTTAGCATTAACTACTTTATACGGTATATCTAGGTTTAACCTTTTTTCCCATCCAGTCTTCGTTCATTACTACTAATGGATTAATGAGCATTCGTGGCTTATCTTATTACCTACTCTAAGTGTAAGTTCCAATTAAGTTTATCATCCCAGATAATTTACGTTTGACGAGTATTTTATAATAGATCCACTAATTGACAAACTTTTGAGTGTTACTTGTCTTCTGCGAGTGAACGGGACCAAAACTGTTTTGGATGGGTTTATATTTAACCCTTCATTTTGGCACCACTAAAAAGTGCAGTTCAATGCAGATTGCACTCTAAATACCTGTGATGATGTGATCAAATTTTCCACGAACTACTATGACCACATCATCAGCAAACCCGATAACTTCGAAGCCTTCTTCCACTAGTTTATTGAGAAGATCATCAACAACAAGTGACCATAATAAGGGTGACAATACACCTCCTTGAGGACACCCCCTAGTGGCCTTTATTGTTATTGATGATTATCCCAAGTCAGTCGATACTTCTCTATTATTCAGCATTTTCATAATCCAAATTATAATGCAAGGATCAACGTTCCTTTCCATTGAGTGTTTTTTTTTATAGATTTGTAAGATGTATTATCAAAAACGCCCTCTACATCGAGAAATGCTACGAGAGCAATTTCTTTTTTGTCAAGAGTATTTTCTACTTTTGTAACCAGTTTATGTAAAGCTGTGACTGTAGTTTCGTTTGATTGATAAGCAAATTGAGATCTGTTAAGAGGGCTCGTTTGCAAATATTTTGATTTTATATACTTGTCTATTATCTTTTCCATGATTTTAAGCATGGTAGATGTAAGACTTATTGGTCTGAACGATTTTGGATTTGTTTTGTCTCTTTTTCCTGCTTTAGGAATAATGAAAACACGAATGTGGGTCCAAATTTTCGGTATATGACCAAGCACTAAACTAGCTTTAAAAATATTAGTTAAGGAATCAAGTAGTACTTCTCCACCTTTCTGAAGAAATGCAGGAAAGATACCATCTTTTCCAGGAGATTTGAATGATTCGAAGGAGTTCACTGCCCACTCAACCTTAGTTCGTGTGAAGATGGTATTAACTGCGGCTGAATTTACAGTCGTAGTCCCGGATGGCCTACAATTCTCTTCTGTAAATGAGTTTTCATCATTATTTCAAGGGTTTCTTTTGTATTAATAGTAAAATTACCATTTGTTTTTTTTAAATTTCCAAGACCATTTGAATGGCCCTTAGAAAGTACTTTTTGTAGTTTGGCTACATCTGGAGTTTTTCCCAATGTTTTCACAGTTCTCCAGGTTCTTCTGCGTGATTTCCTTAATTCTTTATTGTATGCTGTAAGGGCCTTTTTATATTGATCATACTGTCCAGAAACTTTTGCTCGATTGAAAAGTTTCAGAGTTGTTTTCTGTCGTTGAACTAACGGTTATTGTTTATTTGTTTTGTTTGACACATTTTAGGTCATTCGTGACTTGCGCGGGTGAGATTTGAGCTCAAGTCTTTCAGCGTGAGAAGCATTTACGTCAGACCCGTATTCAGTTAAACATTGTGAATTCAAAATCAGTAATCAAATTAATTTCATTTTCCATTTGAGTCAACAGCGTAAAATTTTGCTCTCATTTTTGCTGTGTTAACCGTCAAGTCAACCAAAATGAGATCAACTTGAGTAGGTATTTAAAATAAGTTACATCATAACATCAAATGTTGATTTCAATTCGATCTCCAGTTTTGCTCGTGCAAGCCTCAAGTTTAAATCTGAACGAATTTGGAACTAACGAATTTCAAACTAAAGCATGTATGGGGTTGTCAGCACCCTCTCAGGTTTCATGGAATGTTAATATTGCTGTGAAGACTTAGCTGACTAAGCAACA